GCCTTAGCTACTTGAGCTACAGATGCCGAGCCCTTTTTTCTTTTTCTTTTCTTTTTTTTTTTTTGCAGTTTTTGGCCAGGGCTGGGTTTGAACCCACCACTTCCCACATATGAGGCCAGTGCCCTACTGCTTTGAGCCACAGGCACCGCCCCCTAAATCCTTTTTTCTGTTCTACTAGTGGCTAACCCACTTTTTCCTCCAACATATTAAAAATCTGTATTTTTCCATCAATATTAAAAATTAATCAGTCACCTGTGGCTCAAAGGAGTAGGGCATCAGCCCCATATGCTGGAAGTGGTGGGTTCAAACCCAGCCCTGGCCAAAAAATGCAAAAAAAAAATAATAATAATAACCAGTATCTATACCCTTCCACCTAGCAATAGAAGACTTTTGTGTATTTTTACTTTTCTATTATTCCCTGCATTGGTCTGGTTTCCTCAGGCAAAACAGCCTGTCTCCCTGTATCCAGCTGGGGTAGGGAGCAGTTCCTTCTTACCATCTCTGGCTCCCAGGATGGGTGTGAGGCTTCTGTCTGGGTCCAAGCATGGCGAAGGTGGCACCCAGTCTCAGGTTCTAGGGATAGCGTGTAGGAGAGATTTTCCTCAGATCCTGTTTGTGGGATGATGGATGGAAGGGATATGGGCCTCATTAGCTTGGACATCCACCAGGTCTGTCCCCAGGACTGCCCCACTCTGGGTCTTACCACAGCTGGCATGGGGATCTGGTGTGGGTGGGGCTCCTGGAGGGCCCACGTCACTCTTGGCCGCTGACGTCCTCTTACACTCTACCTTCACTTGGTCTCTGCAGTGTTTGTGGCAATACAGTCCACAGTCTGGGGGGAGGCAGTGGTTAAAGGCCAGAGACCAAATCTTAAGTCCTACATTCTTCCAGCCTACAGGTGGAAGATTCCCTCCCACTTGGTGATGTCCTACTCACCCCGACAACGGTAGCCTTGCTTGGTGACACCCCAGAGCTGAGAAGAGAAAGCAGAATAGGTTACCTAGCCTGGGGGATTGAGGTTAGGGGGAAGTGTGGGAGTTACCCAGGTTTTGAAAATTCTCAAGCATAAGCCAGGTGCGGTGGCTCACACATATAATCCTAGCACTCTAGGAGGCTAAGGCAGGCGGATCACCTGAGCTCATGAGTTCCAGACCAGCCTGAGCTAGAGCAAGACCTCATCTCTAAAAATAGCCAGGCATTGTGTCAGGCGCCTGTAGTTCTAGCTACTCGGGAGGCTGAGGCAAGAGAATTGCGTGAGCCCAAGAATTTGAGGTTACTGTGAGCTATGACGCCATAGCACTCTACTGAAGGTGACAAAGTGAGACTGTCTCAAAAAAAAAAAAATTCTCAAGGATAGAAATTTAACTGGAGGCTCAGCGCCTGTGGCTCAAGTGGCTAAGGCGCCAGCCATGTACATCCAAGGTGGCGGGTTCGAATCCAGCCCAGGCCCGCCAAACAACGATGGCTACAACCAAGAAATAGCTGGGTGTTGTGGCGGGCGCCTGTGGTCCCAGCTACTTGGGAGGCTGAGGCAGGAGACTCTCTTGAGCCCAGGAGTTGGAGGTTTATGTGAGCTGTGATGCCATAGCACTCTACCCAGGGTGACAGCTTGAGGCTCTGTCTCAAAAAAAAAAAAAAGAAATTTAACTGGAATTAAAGTATCTCAAGTTTGGGGAATCATCTAGGATATTCAAATTAGATGAAATTAGGAGTTAATGTAAATTCTTGGCTGGGCATGGTGTGCATACCTGTAAACCAAGTACTTACGGAGACTGAGTTGGGAGAATCTCTTGAGGCCAGGAGTTTGAGACCAGTCTGAACAATATAGCAAGACCCCATTCACAAAATTTTTCTTTCTTTTTTTTTTGAGACAGAGCCTCAAGCTGTCACCCTGGGTAGAGTGCTGTGGCATCACAGCTCACAGCAACCTCCAACTTCTGGGTTCACGCAAGTCTCCTGCCTCAGCCTCCCAAGTAGCTGGGACCACAGGTGCCCACCACAACACCCGGCTATTTTTTTTTTTTTTTTGGTTGCAGCCGTCATTGTTGTTTGGCGGGCCTGGGCTGGATTCGAAATCGCCACCTTAGGTGTATGTGGCTGGCGCCATGCCACAACAAAATTTTTCAAACTAGGCTCAGCGCTAGCTTAGTGGCTAGGGCGTCAGCCCCATACACTGGAGCTGGTGGGTTCAAACCCTGCCTGGGCCTGCCAAACAACAACTACAACAACAACAACAACAAAAATAACCGAGCATTGTGGTGGGCACCTGTAGTCCCAGTTACTTGGGAGGCTGAGGCAAGAAAATCACTTAAGCCCAAGAGTTTTTGAGGTTGCTGTGAGCTATGACACCACAGCACTCTACTGAGGTCAATAAAGTGAGACTTTGTCTCTTAAAAAACAATTTTTTTTTTCAAACTAGCTGGGCATAGGGGTGAGCACCTGTAGTTCTAGCTACTCAGTAGGCTAAGGTGGGTTGATTGCTTGAAGCAGAAATTCAGGGCTACAGTGAGTTATGATTATACCACTGCATTCTAGCCTGGGTGACAGAGTGAGAAACTCTGTCTCTAAAAAAGAATTACAATTAAAAAAATAAAATAGGCTCAGTGCCTGTGGCTCAAGTGGCTAAAGCGCCAGCCATGTACACCTAAGGTGGAGGGTTCAAATCCAGCCTGGGCCCGCCAAACAACGACGGCTGCAACCAAAAAAAAAAAAAAAAGCTGGGCACTATGGCGGGCGCCTGTGGTCCAAGCTACTTGGGAGGCTGAGGCAGGATACTTGCTTAAGCCCAGGAGTTGAAGGTTGCTGTGAGCTGTGATGCCACAGCGCTCTACCCAGGGGGATAGCTTGAGGCCCTGTCTCAAAAATAAATAAATAAAATAAATGCAAATTTTACAGTCAGGGATTGTATCTGTTTCGTTCCTGCTGTATTCCTGGCACCTGGAACGGCCAGGCACAAAGGAGGTGCTCAGTAAATATTTAGTGAGTGAATAAATGAAATTGGAAAGTAGTGCAAGGTTTGTGACTTAATCTTAGTTTGGAGATTGAGAAATTTGTCCATTATCCAGAGTTTGAGGATGGATACCTTGAGTTTGGAAATTATCCAGGGTTTGAATGGTCTGAAGTCTAGAGATTTGGAGATATTTGGACATAATCTATACAAGTTTGTAGATTATCCAGAGTTTCAGAGATTATCCATGGCTTGGTAATTATCCGGGATTTGGGGATTATCTAGAATTTGGGCATTATCTAGAGTTTGGAGACTATCCAGGATACAGGGGATATCTAGTGTTTAGCGTTTATGTGAAATGTGAGGATTATCTGAGGCTGGAGGATTTTCTGGAATTTGGTGACTGTCTGTGTTCTAGGACAGGGCTGGCTTTCTGAGCCTGGCTGTGAGGAATTTGAGCTCTTCAGGGCAGGAGGCCCTCAGGGTGGTAATAGGGCAGAGTGCTCACGAAGCCGTTGCAGCTGTCACAGAAGGTAGGCTTGCGGAGGGTGACCTCATGGAAGGAGTGCAGAAAGGCCAGGCCCAGCTTGGAGCAGATAGCACTGGCCCGGAGCAGGTACCCTGTCAGCTCTTCTCTGCTGAAGGAGCCTCTCCTGGGGACAGACACTGAGCCTCAGCATGCCTGGCCCCTACCTCCTTCAGACCCAGGAGTCCAGGCAACCCCAGTGTCCTTATCTTTGGGGAACCCAAGAGTCAGGACCGCTTACCCTTGGTGGGGAGGTGGGTGAAGGCCATAGCAGGCAAAGGGGAAGTTGCCTGAGAGCCGCTCAAAGTCTTCCTGAGAGATGGTTCCTCGGCCTTCAGGGTCATAATTCTTGAACACAGACTTCAGAGGAGCATGGGAGGCAGAAGGCAGCCTAGTCATTGAGGTATCCCCATGGCCTCAGAGCCCCTTCTTTGGGTACAGGGCCATGCAGTGTCTTCCACCTGGCCCCCAGTGGCCAGGCAACTGTGCCCTCCTTACCTCCACCAGTTGTTCTACATGCCGACCGAGGGTGACCCTGTCTGGCTTAGGTGTCACACCAGGGGCCCACTCTACCACCAGAGGTGCTTTGAAGGGGGACGGTGGCTGGGGTGGGGACAGAGGGGCGCAGTTAGTGCACAGACTTGGGCAGTGAAGGGGGAGGAGGGTCAGAGGTCAGGGGTCCAGTTTCCTCACCAGATTCTTGGGACAACGGGGCTCCCGGGCATAAGAAAGTTCGTAGATCTCATCCTCTGTGTAGAAGAGATCTAGGGAAAGCTAGGGGATGGGCAGGAGCATTTCAGACCCCTCCTTGTCTCCATCCCCCTCCTGCCTGGACCCCCGCTCTCCATTCTCTTTCCCAGAACCCTTCTTTGGGGGCTCCTAAGATTTTTTCAAGCTCTATATTCTCCCTTTACCCTCCAGAAATGCCATTTTCGGTTGAAGTCTTTTTTGATTTTCCTATTTAAAATTGCACACACCCCACCCTCTTGTCACCTGTCTTCCCCATTACAATTTTTTTTTTCTGGCTTGTTCATTGCTATATCCCCAGTGGCTGAAGTAGTGAGTGCCAGACTCACCTCAGGTGCTCAAGAAATATTTGGGCTTGGCCAGCATAGCGACTCACGCCCACCTGTAAACCTAGCACTCTGGGAGGCCGAGGCCTGAGGATCACTTGAGCTCAAGAGTTCAAAACCAGCCTGAGCAAGAGCAAGACCCCTGTCTCTTCTAAAAATAGAAAAATAGCCAGGCATTTTGGTGGGTACCTATAGTCCCAGCTACTTGAGAGACTGAGGCAAGAGGATCTCTTGAGCCCAAGAGTTTGAGGTTGCTGTGAGCTATGGCTCCATGGCACTTTACCCAGGCGGACAAAGTGAGAATTTGTCTCAAAAAATAAATAAAAGAAATTTTTAATAATTTTGAACAAGGAGACCTATGTTTTCACTGTGGACCCTGCCAATTATGTAGCTTGTTCCATCATAGAAAATCAACTCTTGGGTGGCACCTGTGGCTCAAAGGAGTAGGGCGCTGGCCCCATATGCCGGAGGTGGTGGGCTCAAACCCAGCCCCGGCCAAAAACTGCAAAAAAAAAAAAAGAAAAAGAAAGAAAATCAACTCTTCAGTTTTAAACTACAAGGCCCTTAGGATCCCAAACTCTATCAATGCAACAAAGGGGAAACCTGGGCAGGATCCCGCGTGCACAGTCTCAGGTCACAGTCTGGTAGTTAACATACATTAACAAGCAGGCTCTGAAGCTGGGCTACCAGAATTCAAATTCTGGTTTTACTGCTGTGGAACAGTGGGCAAGTGAACTCACCTCTCTGTGCCTCAGTTTCCCAATCCACAGAATGGACATAATAAGGGCCCCTGGCTCATAAAGTCGTAAGGTAGAATGAAGTGGTCTGAGAAGGTTTTCTTTTTCTTTTTTTTTTTTTAACAGAGTTCCTGGGACATAGTAAATGATCAATAACTGTTATTAGCCTTTTGCTTAGATTCCTGGATATGTCAAAACTTGGAATATTAGACTCTTGGACTATTGGTATGAGAAATTCAGAACCTTGGAGTTCAAGAGTGTGAAAGCCCAAAATAATCCCAGAGTTCAGATCAATGGATACTTGAGTTGCTGGGGGAGTCAAGGGAAAAAAAACATATCACTGTGTTCCAGATAACATTTTAAGTGTTTTGTACTAAGTACCATCTGAAGTAGGTCCTATTATCCCCATTTGGCAGACAATGAAACTGAGGCCAATGGGTGAACTTGCCCAAGATTATACAGCTAGAAAAAAACCTAGACGCTCAGGCTTCAGAGCCGGTGCACTCCAAGCTTTATTCTACCCTGTTCCTGCAGACCCTCACCTGCCCAGTACCCTAAATCACAGTCCCTTTGGGCTCAACCTTCAGGGGTCCCACCTGAGCAGGGCAGGCAGCTCACCGTAAGCAGATGCAACAGGTCCTCATTGGCACTGCAGGGGGGATGCTGCCCCTGGAGGGCTGCCAGCTCCTGCAGCCGCAGGTAGAGGCTGTTCAGCTTCGGTAGGTGCAGGCGGCCATCAGGCAACCTGTCAGGCTGTGCCTCATGCAGGGACACCAGGTCCTTGAGGTGCACACCCAGCACAGGCAGCCGGAAGCCTGTGCAGCCAGCCCAAGCACGGCGGTAGCGGGTGTAGTTGTTGTGGGAGGCAAGAAGCTCAGTCAGTTCTAGCAGGACCTGTGGAGGACAGGGGACTCATGGGGGCATGTTAGCTGGAGGGCAGTTCTGTTCCCTGAGCTCCCTGGAAAGGAGTATCCCAGCAGCATCCTGTGTGGACTCTAGAACCTCAGGGGCCCAGTGGCATTTGGATACCACCTGAGCCCCTCCATATCCCACAGTGTTCTCAGCATCTTCCCCAAACTGCTCTTCCTCTTGGCTTCCTATCTCAGAGAGGCCCCTCTATCCTCTATTTCCCAGGCTAGAGCAATTTCTCAAAAACTGGAATTGTGGATGTGTCATCATTCTCAAACCTTCTCTAGCTCCCCATTACCCTCTGCATAAAGCCCAAGCACCTTAATCCAGTGCAAGGCTCAATAGGATCTTCCCCAAGGCATCTCCAGCCTAATTTCCTGCCACCTGCTGACTTCAGCCACACACCAGATTCATGACTCAGTCTTCTCAGACACTTCTCAAGATCTCTCCAACCCATGCTCCTTCCTGGGGTACCACATATATGGGCATCTTTGGATGTATAACTTAGCTCCCCACCAGGACTGCAAGTTCTGTTAACATCTGTGTCCCTCACAGCCTAGCTCAGGACCAGGCTAGCTGAAGTGGAGAGGGGTCAGCTCATGGGTGGATGGATGACAAGGGAGGAAGAACACAGACTGAGCCTGAAGGTCTGTAGGGTTTGGAGGAGCAAGTCCCCAGGTGGGTCCAGGGTTCCTGGGCAGGGATGGGCAAGGGTTAGGGAATTAAGGTCAGCGGACCACTTGGACTTTGGGGAGGGTAGTGGGGATTCACCTTGGTGCTGTCAAGGCTCAGGTGGGTGTGGGAGTCCTTAAGTCTGGAGATAGCACTATGACACAGGCCACCTGTGACCGCCATCAACGTGTTGAAATTCTTCAGCTGGTGGAGCCTCTAGGAAGGGAGGCGATGCACAGAGATGGCAGATATCATCGGAGGACAGGCAAGTAGGAAGTTCAGAGGAGAGCATCCCAGGTGAGCTGGGGTCCACAGCATGTGCAGGAACGGGCCAGTGTGGGCATCAGACAGGTTAGAGAAGGTGAGTGTATCGGGGAGGAGTGGGCCACAAGCAGGTGTGTGGACCTCACAGAGGTGTCAGATAGTTATCCGGGGAGGAGGAACGGGTCAGGCAGGTGATAGGATGATGAGAGGTTAGAAAAGTATGGGGAGACAGGTGAGGATGAGAAGCAGGACAGATTTGGGGAATAGACAGGTGTGAGTCAGACAGGTGTCAGGCACCTGGGGGTCAGGCTGCTCAGACAGTGAGAGGAGACAAGAAGGTGTCGGCTCTGGGCAGGAGTTGGGAACCCGGCAGAGGTGAATGGGGCCAGAGAGATATGCAGGGGTCAGATAGGTGTGAGACAGCTGTAGGGTCAAGAGGGCACAGGGGAATACCCTCACCCTCCTTTTCCCCATATTTGAAGGCAGAGGTCGCACTGGAGAGAGTGGGGCCTGGGAGGAGTGGAGGATGCTCAGATCAAGGGCATCCCCTGCATCAGATGCCAGAACCCCCAGGCCAGAACCCTGGGGCTGGCAGAGGGAAGCCGAGCAAGGGAAGCAGCAGGGGAAGGGCGTGGTCTGCGTGGAAATACAGAGGGTGAGGCCATAGTGGAGGCCGAGGGCTTCCCTTTTCCCCAGAACGGAGAGGAGGTTATCCGGAGGGGAGGAGGAGGAGAGGTGCCTAACACTAGGGGACGAGAAGGGAGGGACAGACGTGATGGGAAGGGAGCACTGGGGCCTGGGCCTTGGTGGAGGCAAAGGTGAGACATAGAAGGGAAACTCTCCTTGCTCTGGGGCTAGAATATTCGGACATAGGGCTTGGGAGACCAGGTCAGGAAGGACTTGGTCAACTGCTATGTTTAGGGCCGAGGAGTGGGGCCAAGGTAGGTTGGACAGCAGTGATGTCAAGGCCAACGAAGATGTTACAGTCTGGGGGTTAGAACAGCTGGACTGTGGCCTCAGGGCGGGGCGGGGTACAGGTATGGCCCCGCTGGCGCTGGAGCTTGAGAGAGGAGGGGTGAGCACCAGAAAGCCAGAGGAAAGGTGAGCAGGCCTCACCTGTGCTACCTGAATGAACTTGTCCAGCACCTGCGCGCGCTGTGCAGGTCCGCCGCGGCTTAGCACCATGACCTGCACCCAGCGGGACACACTGTTGCTGAGACCTACGGATGCCTCCAGCGCCGGGCAGCCCCGCACAGAGCCCTGCAAAACGTAGCTGCGCAGGTCCTGCGGCTGGGGGCGAGGTGGCAGTCAGGTGGCTGGTGGTGTTCAGACCCCACCCCTCAAACCCCATCCTCCAAGCAGTTACGACCTCTGAAATCCTAGCCTGGTCTAGCCTGACTGAACTTTGTTATCTGTCACTCCCTTCCTCCCCTTTCCTGCTGCCAAATGTCGCCGACTTCCTCATGGTCCTCTCCCATTTGAGAAGAAATGTTTGAATAAAGCCATACACTGGTCTGAGTATTTTATCATATTAACTAATTTAATCCTCATAACTCTATGAGGTGAGTACTACTATTATTATTCCCATTTTGGAGATGAAGCAATCAAGGCGCAGAGAGGACACATAATTTGCCCAGGGTCACACAAAGGTGCATTTGTATGCTCTTAACTGTATACCTGACTGGTATGCAATCAGCAAAGGGAGAACAGGACTTGAAATCCACTTCTATTTGTTCTGCTCAAAGAGTGTATATTCCATACACACTTCTACTGTACCATGTACACAGAGATTGTCAAAAAATGTATGCGCATTTTAGGAAAGAAAAAACTGTATTAAAATTGTAATATTCAAGTCACATTTGACTTCTGCAACCAGAAGAAATACAAGATACAATACAATACAATATTTTTTTTGAGACAGAGTCTCACTTTGTTATCCTTGGTAGAGTGCTATGGCATCATAGCTCACAGAAACTTCAATCTTTTCGGCTCGGCGCCTGTGGCTCAAGCGGCTAAGGCACCAGCCACGTACACCTAAGGTGGTGGGTTCGAATCCCCAGCCCGGGCCTGCCAAACAACAATGATGGCTGCAACCAAAAAATGGCCGGGCGTTGTGGCGGGTGCCTGTGGTCCCAGCTATTTGG